TTCCACTTTTGTGGAAATACGGCTAAAACCAGCGGCTGAAACCGTCGTAAAAATTTACATTAGGATGGCCGCTCTCAGGTTTCTCTCTGTTCAAAGTATGTTGTCTCTCTCAACGTTGAAGACATCTTTTCAGCCAAACGCGCAGTCTATATATTATTCGTCTATGATCTGCACCAATACCAATACTTATGTAGTCAAAGGCATATATATAATACTTCTATATTGCTAGTCGCGTATCTTCGCAATGAGAGGCACGAGGCCCGAGAAAGAGAGACGCACGAAATCCAAATATGGGCATAGATAGTCGAGCGTCATTATGCGCAGGCGCGTCTACTAAGCGAGTGCGAGCGAGACAAAGCATTAGAAAGTGAGAGAAATAACGCGAGAAAGAGAAATGCGCAAGCGTGCTTGAATGTTCACCGCATGCGCACAAAGCAGCTGGACCTTGCGCGAGAAAGAGGCTACTATATTGTCTGCACCGTAATATTTGGGCTTCAGGTCGGCACCGTACTAGCAATATAGAAGTATTACATATATGGTCAAAGGTTACGGCTATTATAAATCAATTCTCCCCAGCCAGTGAATGGCGTATGGATTAACCTTCACGGTCCAAGAGCCACAAGTGCACCAAACCTATAAACCAATCCTTAATCGATTCTTTTATTAGAATTGATCCAATTGGTCCAATCATAACGATTAATTAACCTGAATTGACCAATCGCGGTTAACGAGTAAACGATCAATTTATAATCGTCCAGTGGAAACTCGTCTTAAAGTGTTTTACTTATTTCAGGGACAAAAGTCCCTAGAAGATACAAGTTGTTATTGGATATTGTATATCACACATTGTAATAGTCGCCTTAAGTTTCATAACACAGTACGAAAATCAGCCAATCAGCGATATGGACAAGTTTTAGTCGTCCTATAAGACAACGTCTCATATTTAGTTAATAAAAAATTGTTCTTTTTTATCGACCGAAGCGCACTTAGTTGCAAATAGTTTTTGTCCAAAAGGTTGTCTCTTTTCCCTCACGATAGCAACTGCGTGAGCAACACGAACGAGTTTGCAACGTTTTTGCGAACATCAGTTTTCCAAGGTGTTTTCCGCGATTAGCCTTTGACCATTGACTAAATCTTTCTCTGTTTTATGAGATTGCATCTCAACGACATTGTCGGGCCAGCGCCTCGGTAACATTCACACAATATTCAAATTGCGTGGCAAGAATTGTATTTGTAGAGATTGACGTAACGTTGAGAGGACTTGAGGCGTCGTTGTTTCACACGTCGTTCGATCGTAAGAGCGCTTTTTTCACGAAAAATTTGTTGTATCGTTGCAACCCAAATGTCAGGCATAGCGATCGCCAGACTCGCCGAGGAGCGAAAAGCATGGAGAAAGGATCATCCTTTCGTGAGTTATCAGACGTTCTGCGTACCATGTTTTCGCGGGAATACGCCACCGGCGTCAGTCCGCTTTGTGTGCATGAAATTTGTTACTGGATGCGATTAAACTGTAAATAATAAACCGCGTTATTTTCTCAAATAAAAAAAAATTCAGCTTTTAAAATTCTGTCAAACAAACTGATAACAAATAAATTTTTTACCTCTTTTTCTCTCTTTGTTTTACTGTCTTTGAAAAAATATATATATATTTTGTACAAACAAAACAAGAAAAAACCCGATATTAAACAAATTTTAAAACTCATAGTGTTTATTTTATTAATATTTAATTTTTTTGAGGCAGTAGAATTCACACACACATTTAAAAGTTTAAACCTTTCTCCAACAATATCATTACAATATCTTGTTTATAGGGATTTGTTGCAAGGCCAACTAAGAATCCAGATGGTTCTCTAAACTTAATGAGTTGGGAATGTGCCATTCCAGGAAAGAAGTCTGTAAGTTAATTTTCTTAAGGCGAATCACGTAAAAGTAATTGCAATTGTATTAAACTTGTGAATTTGTAGACTCCTTGGGAAGGTGGATTATACAAGTTACGCATGATTTTCAAAGATGATTATCCATCTAGTCCGCCAAAATGCAAATTTGAGCCACCTTTGTTCCATCCTAATGTTTATCCATCTGGCACTGTTTGCTTATCGCTTCTGGACGAAGAAAAAGATTGGCGACCAGCAATCACAATCAAGCAGATTCTTCTTGGCATCCAAGATTTGTTAAACGAGCCAAATGTGAAAGATCCGGCTCAAGCTGAAGCATACACAATATACTGGTAATGTTTTTTTGGAAATGTATTAATTTAATTACGAAAGAAGTTCGTAATTGTTCAAATATAATCGAGTATCTTATTTTATAGCCAAAATCGTCTGGAGTATGAAAAACGAGTTAAAGCACAAGCCAGAGCGATGGCTCCGCAGGAGTAAATTGTATGAAAATATCAAATCGAAATATTTAAGATGTGTAAGAAAACAAAAAATTCTGTGTACACTTCTCTAAACTCATTTATCATTCTTAGAATTAATCCTTTTTTTTTTTTTATAAGGAAACTTATTAAATGTGTAACTAAGGTTTCTTTTCATCCCACACAAACATTCATCCATTCAGACATCCATTAGACATCTATTAGATGTCGCACGGAGCTGTCGACGTCTAATAGATGTCTAATGGAGTTTTTGTTCTGTGTGGGTTATTTACTAGATTAAGTTTGTGGGATCTTCTTAAGCTTTAAAACAATAAGCGTTTTATAGCAAAAAGTATAATATTACGTACTCTGTATCTCGCAAATATTCTTTTATTATCTTTAAGATTAACTGCAGTGTAAGACACGTTTAACTTTAAGATGGGATTTATATATATTTTGTGACCTAAACTTTAATTTGTAAGTCTTATAAGTAATTATTCTGCTGTTGCAGGAATACAAATGATAGACTTAAAAAGAAAAACAAAAGCAACTGTTAAATATCACATCTATATTAGTTCTACTCTTGCATTGTATAAGTTTATTTAAAAAAAAAAATTTATTAAGTGATACGAAAAATCTCCAAGAAAATAAAAAAAAAATACTCCAATTCTATACTCCGCGCAGAATGTACGTTGAATCTCTTGAGCCGGAAACCCTTGGAACTTTATGCAAATTTGTCCTTTATCCGCAGGAGAACAAGTTTCCGTATCGGTGAGTGTGTGACTTAATCGAAACTGAATCGAGGTGACTGCCGATTAAGTTCAATCTGACACTTCCTCGCTACCTCCCTCAAAATATCGATTCTCCTACTCGGCTTTCAAAGAAGTTGTTTATTCAAACAGTTTATTATCGCTGTAACATCATCTCGAGGTGACCTCCGATAGTGTCATCAGTGAGCACATTACAATGTGTATGTGACCTATGTGCGCGCAGTGAAGCGCTCATTTGTGTCCAGTAACAAGTAAGAGAGCGAGTGCTTGGTATATAAAGGAAGAGTTTTTTTTATCAATCATATCAGTCGGTGATTACTAAATTCGCTTAGTGGTATCGCGAAACTACCAAACACAGCTATTGTCGTATCATCAGCAACACGATGCCGGCAGCTCAAGATTCCGTGATAAGAAAACTCAACGCCGGACTCGTGACCGCGTGCGTAATCGGCCTCGTATTGTCGTACTACGCGTACCTGGTGGAAACCAAGAGGGAACATGACAGTTCGTACGAACCGATGTGCGACATCTCCGAGCACATCAGCTGCACCAAAGTGTTCATGTCTGAGTAAGTGCGCATATCCGTTACTACTTGCACAAACCAACGCATTGATAATGAGACTGCAGAACGCGTTTGGACGCAAGGGACAACAATGAGCGGTAGCCAATCAGCATTTTGCTCTTAGAGAAAAGCAGCAAGATGACTGACTGTTCCTGCAATAGCTATAGCAAGTTAACAACAAACGATGTTTTTTTTTTTACCACAAATAGGTCGATATACTGTTGTTTCATTCATGCGCTAATCTACCAAAAAAAAAAACTAAAGTAGAACAACAATTGAACAGCAATAAATACTAGACGTGTCCATATGTTGACCAATCACGTTTGCTGATTGTTACTTTACGTTCCTCGTTATAAATTGTTTTTGGAGTTCCAAAAAGTTGCGAGATTTTTAGACACGTTAACTGATTATCAAACAGAGAATTTCCATAAAATTTACGAGACAAACTTACTATATGTACTTGGAGCAAAAAATTTTGGTGGAATGTACTTTTTCTATTGCTCTATATCACAGACGTGGAATGAGACGTAGCGCCATATTGGCTTCATACCGACATGGCTTCATATCGCGCGAATTGTTGAACAGTGTGTAAACCGGATAATATAAAGAATAACTTATTGATACTGTTTTTCATCATTTTTTTTTTTTTAATAAATATTAGTTAAAATACAAAATACAAAACCTACATTATAAGAGTGTAAATTGTGTCAAACGTGATCATGAAATTATTTCAAATATAAAATATAAGCAAATAAAACATGATATTTTTCAACAGGAATCAAATAAGCCCGATACGAGCCATTCGCAGGATGTTTGTGCGGAAACTATGCGTGTACATATATATATATATATGCACAAACATCCTGCGAATGGCTCGTATCGGCCTTATTTGATTCCTGTTGACAATTTCACGAGCGTTAAGTCTTATGATATTTTTCAGATATGGCAAAGGATTCGGACTGATGCCGAAGAATTCCATGTTTAACGTTCCAAATTCCATATACGGTTTATTATTTTACACGCAGATGTCAATTTTCAGTACGTATTTTTTAGTAACCCGTATTATATTTAAGTAATATTTGTGTGTATTTACGAATTAATTAATTGAATTTTGTTTCTTTACAGGTATGATTAACGATTACGCCTTCTCTGGCGTGGTTGTTGCTCTGGGACTGCTTTCTAATATCGGCTCGATATATTTGGCTTATCTGTTGTATATGTTTAATGATATCTGCGTGGTGTGCATTAGCACATACGTTGTAAACGCGGCGATTACGTATCTTGCAATTAAGAAGTTTCGAATATTGCACGTCAGTACCAAGAACAAAAAGAAAATGAAATAAATGTGAGAAGTTTAATCGCAATTTTTGCACAGTTACGAATTGAAGATATTAAAAATTCTTTTTTTTTTTTTACTATATATTTTTTTATTCAATTTATGTGTCAATGTATATATATTTTTTTAGGCAGAGATAATATCGTTTAGATTACCTTTCCATCGTGAATAAGATTAAGTTTTTTGTGTAACAATTGATTTTTACAAATATTTTTATTTTATATAATATTTTATATCTTATATAATTGCTTTTTTCTCAATTACTATTCTTCTTTTTTGGTTTTCATGAATATGTAAGAATATACAAGAAAAATACATTCACTAAATATTTGAATTCTCATTTTAATGTTGTATAAAATTGATATATATATATACGTATATTACTGTAAATCAATTAATATATAAATATCGCACTGATATGTGACAAATCGTGTCTCTATTTACTTAAATATTATTAATAACTTAAATATGATATATGTATATGTGTCTACACATATAGGGACTCTATGTTATATCAAAATCAGTTATACGACTTTCTCACACACACGTATAGTTTTTCCTAAGAATGTCAGCAATTTAGTTATTAACAATATGTGGCACGCGTATAAATGTTGAAAAAAATATAAAATAAAAAAAGTTTTAATAATAAACAATATTTGTTATAATAACTGTTAAATATATCAGTTCCATTTGATGTGTGACTTTAATTCTCATATATGTAAATCTAATTTATATAAACAGTTTGTAAAAAGAACACTTTTTTTTCTTGTCCAAGTGCAGATCATAATGTAAAGTAGCTACAAATCTTCTGGCAGCAGAACTGGAATGCATACACACGAGCGCATAAGTGTGTACTTTCTTAAACAATTGTCTACACAATTACTTTTTATTTACTTACGTCGACAATATTTCACATTAACACGCGTAAATTAATTGTTTAATCTCGCGAAACACATCAAACATTTAACGTGCGATAATGTGAAAATCTTTCAACAAATAAACTCATTTGTTGAAAGTATATTTTTCGAAAAAGATTCAGTTTTTTATATATTCATACTCTTCCCCGTTTCTTTCGAGTGATCGTAAGAGCAAAAAGAGGTCCGTTACTCGTAAAATAAACGATTTTACACTCATCGTCACTAATGGCGGGATTTCAATATTTATTATCTCTGAACAAGTCTCTGTTACTACGACTGATGCTGGCGAGTATACCGGGGCTCTTCAGCGGCGGCGTTTCGTTCAGCCGGTTAAGTTGCAAGTTCGAGGTGTAGGGTGCGCGTGTAGGTGCGTCAACGTCGTTCTTGTCGGCCTCGACGTTGAAGCTCTTGCTGCGCGACAGCGAGGACTTGTACGTTCTTTCGGGCTTCGCCGGCACCTGAAGAGTGCTGTACGCGTTAACCTTGGGCGACGTCGTGCTCACCGTGTTCTTGATCGATATGTTAATCATGCTACTGTGCTGTCCGGTTTTGCCGGGTGTGCCGTGTCGACCGAGCGCCTGGTGTCGTCTGCTGGTCTGCGACGCTGTCTGCACGCGTGCCGACGAGTGTCTGTCCGCACCGCCGCCGTGGGAGTGCAGATTTCGCGGCAACGTCTGCGTCGAGCGGAATTGTTCCTCCCGTTCGTGATCGCCGGCCAGTCTGCTGGTGGATTTGCTAAACCTGCCGAGCGAGCCGGAGGCGACGCTGAAACGCGGTCGTTTCCGAAACAGATGACACCAAAAAAAAAAAAAAAACAATCGTGCGGATGTTCTCTCGTCGATTCGCATGCGACGACGATCGAATGTATCTTATGTATGAGTTCTCTCTCGATTTCTCGCATGCGTCCTTTTCATGCAGCCCTCACCCGAAATTGAAGCGACCTTCGAGATTCGCTGAGATGCGACTTAAAAAGATACCCAAAAAGCGACCCGATTTAGACGTTTGACTTCTGAAGCTTATACACCTAGCGCTTTGGCAGCCTAGCATGAGAAAGCGAATTTTTCGTCTACTCACGATGACAGATTTAAAGAGACAAATTTTCACTCTCTCTCTCTCTCTCTCTTTCTCTCTCTCTTGTTTGACAAGATGTGAAAGCATGAAATATCGTCAAAAAACGCTGTGTCATTCTTAACAAACACGTATGTAAGTATATACAAAGATAGAACGCTTAGAGTTATCTTCTCATGCTTTCACTTTGAATTGCGTCTCGAAACAAAAAATTTGTTTTCAAAGCAAAACTTATTTGGAAAATTAAATGAGATCATCAAGTTGTAATGCATTTTTTTCTGTGTATTTTTTTTTTTTTTTTTTTT